CAGTCCTGCTATTTCTGACCTACTAATCTATATATATTCTCACCTCTCCCATTTTCTACTTATTCCAGTCAATAGCTAAAAAGAAAAATTAATTAGACCACATTAATTGGCTATCAATTAATATGATACTCTAAAAGAAAATGTTCTCATTAACTAAATTAATACATACTGACAACTCAGGGTAAAATCACTGCAGCTAATTTCAACACATGGCAGTTCCCTGGGTCTCAGAATGTAACTCAGCTCCATGTGGCTTGCTATAGTTTTTATGGCGGCAGATGGCCAGGTCCTTTGATGGTGACACTGAGTGGGTTTGAACCACCAACCTTTCAGTTAGCAGCAAAGAACAAACTGTGTACTACCCAGGATCCTCAACGTACGGCAGTCTTACAGTATTTACTTTCCTCCTTGAGGTTGATACTCCATTCTACCTAAGAACTCCTATAAGAAAATAGTTATAACAAATAATCTTCATTGCCATTTGTCAATCTCTATCCAGTCACTCCTACTTTTCCCTCCAACCAATGAAGTTGGCCTGCCGAGACTCAAACGACACCCACATCAATGTCCACAACAGCACTATTCACAAGAGCTGAAAGATGGAAACAACCTGAGTATCCATCAACAGAAAACGGAATAAACGAAATGTGGAATTATACATAAAATGGAAAACTATTAAGCTAGTGGTCTTGATACATGCTACAGGACAGGACAGAGCTTGAAAACACTATCCTAAGTGATGTAAGTCAATCACAAAGGGACAAATTTTGTATAACCACGCTTTTAAAAAAAGACACATAAAAGTATGAATGTATAGAGACCAAAGTCTTTAGTGGTGACAAGCGGTAAAAAGGAGAAGGTAAAAGGTAGTTAACAGTGCTGGGGAAATAAAATTGATGGAAGGTACTATTATATAGATAATTGTTGTGATTGCTGTCAATAAACTGTACACCTATAAAAGATGAACTGGGAACACAAGAACACTTTGTTCTAACAATTCGGCAGTCTGAGATGCTCACCTGCCTGGCATGATCGCTGAAGACAATGGGTGCACAAGAAAATGCGGTGAAGAAAGTGGATGATGCTTGGCTACCAAAAGATATAAGACCTGAAGTCACTGAAGACAATGGGTGCACAAGCAAGTGTGGTGAAGAAAGCTGGTGGTGCCCAGCTACCAAAAGATATAGCACCTGAAGCCTTAAAGACTTGAAGATAAGCAAGCACCATCTAGCTGAGAGACAACAAAACCCACATGGAAGAAGCACACCAACCTGCCCCTACTCGATCAATGAGGACAAAGGGGGTGCATTAGCAAAGTGGTGAAGAAAGCAGATGGTGCCCAGCTATCAAATGATACAGCATCTGGGGTCTTAAAGGCTTGAAGACAAACAAGCGGCCATCTAACTAAGAAACAACAAAACCCACAAGGAAGAAGCACACCAGCCTACC